ACCAATTCCTTAAAAGATAGAGACCCCCATCCCCTCCGCAGAGGATCAAAATTGTGATGGCATGTCTTCGGATCATCCTCCGGGATGTTTCCCAGACCGTCGCCAATAGCCCATTGTGCAGCTCTAGTGCGACGTAAATTAACAACAGCAACAACCAGCTACCTATCAAGCCTCAACCCTAAACCACATTAATGGAAATAGAAAGCTATAAACTAACTCATAGAGCTCATCGCATTCATCTACAAACAAACAGGTAAACAAAAAAAACAAAAAACACGTTTTCGGGTGAGATTCCAAAGGATGTCAGTACTTTTATTTTATTAACACTGATATTTGTAACTAAATTTGAGTTTTTGTTATAAAAGACATATTATCATGCTGTAATATTTAAGCTGTTTATAACAAGAAATATTAGCAATTAAAAGTGATTTACATTTATAAAGTATAAATATACCCTTGGACAGAAATTATGAGAATATATATAGAAAATATTTATTAAATTCGTTTCAACAAGAGTATTTTATTTTATGGGGCTATCTCCTGTATATTGTAAAAAAGTCTCCTTATCAACTGACTGAAGAAAAGGCATCTAAAGTTGAAAATATTTTAGTAAAAGTGAATAGAATTGATGCTGCTTAAGTAATTAGGTACATTATAATGAAGTTACTTATTATGCTTGTTCTAGTATTTAAAATCTGAGCTATTTATGCACTGTATGTTGAGTATTTATATACGAAATTTTAATTTGGGAATTAAAAGAAATTGCAATAACAGAGTTATTAAAAGAATATTATTTGAAGTACTTTAAGTTACTATTCTTAAACAAAGTATTCTTTTTAGCCGCATACGCAATAATTTCATGAATTTCGCCACGTGAATGCCACTAAGATTAAATTTGACATGCTGAAATGGGTCCATTTGTTTATGAATTAAACACTTAGTTTTTTTTATATATATATAAAGTCAACTTCTTAGAACAAAGAAACTTTTAGGTGAAATCTTTCATGTATTTTGGGCACTGTACCTGTTGACATAATTTAAATATTGATNAGGTCACAGAGGAAATGACGTTTCTCTGGGTAAACGGGGAAAAAAAAATTTTCCTCTACTCAACTTCAAGGATGAGTCCAAATTCCGCTTTTTTCGTTCTAGTTTAAAATGGTGGGAAAATCGAGCAAAATTTTTCCCGGTTTTCTGGATACCGGAAAAATGGTTCTCTACTGTATTTGTTTAAAAAATTATGTAACCCATTTTTTTTCAAAAGGACCCAGTTTTTTAAAAGTCATGGGTCCCAGGGACCCGGGATTTTGAAAGCCTAGTGTCTTCCCTGTATATATATATATAAAGTCAACTTCTTAGAACAAAGAAACTATTAGGTGAAATCTTTCATGTATTTTGGGCACTGTACCTGTTGACATAATTTAAATATTGATTTAAAATGTTTATTCACACTTAAAATATTCTATACATTATATCAAGGCACATATTTTAATTGTTTATTAATTTTCTTTTCAGAATTGCATTTTCTTACTTGGATACAATTGCATTGCCAATATCTTATGACACTTGGTGTTTACCTAAGATATTACTTAAGAAAAGGCTGCCTGACTTCTTTAAACTAGTTTCTACTCCCACTGTGAAAAGCTGAAGAAAGGCATTTACATTGTTATTAGACTATAATATTGATTGGTATTTAAATGTGATGTTTGATTGTTATTCATTTATTACATTGTATAACTTAAATGTATTGATAGTAGCTTAAATACTTTTAATGCCTAATTGCTGATAACTTAAATATTTCTTTTGGAATACTCAATCAACAGGAAAATATTGTAGAATTTTTGTTGTAGCTTTTTCAAAAAGTTTTTTCTAAGTCTAAAACAGTAATAGGAACTAAAATCAAACTTAGTACACACGTATAAAACCGTATCATTACACCTCATATAAATATCTTCATTAAGGTAATTAAACTATACAAGGCTTATTAAGACGTAGCAGTCAGTATGAGTTAAAAAGACAGAACGTGCCTAAAACTCATACAGAAAAGAATCTTCATTTTTTTAGAGTATGTAGTATAGTTTTTTTCGCAGCAGGAACACGTAACTAGACACAGTCACACTCGTCATTTGGAGCAACTTTATTCTTATAGTGTGTGTAATAAGAAAGTTTTAGTGAAGATGAATTTAAATCAACATGATAGCACACACACTATTCAAAATCTTTATTCTTGTGACATATGTAGCAAAAGTTTTTCACAAGAGAGAACATTGTCTATGCACAGATGTGTTCATACGGGTGAAAAACCTTATTCTTGTAGTGTATGTGAGAAGAAATTTTCAAGTAATAGGTGTTTAACTTGTCACCTTCGCACACACACTGGTGAAAAGCCATATACTTGTGACTTATGTCAAAAAAGATTTGCAACAAGAAGTGAACTGTCTGTGCACAGTCGTGTTCATACGGGTAAGAAACCTTATTCATGTAGTGCATGTGATAAGAGATTTTCAATTAAGATTAATTTAACTCGTCACTTTCGCACACACACTGGTGAAAAGCCTTATACTTGTGGCTTATGTCATAAAAGTTTTGCAGCAGGAAGTGAACTGACTAAGCACAGTCGTGTTCATACAGGTGAGAAACCTTATTCTTGTAGTGTATGTGAGAAGAAATTTTCAAATAATAGGAGTTTAACTTATCACTTTCGCACACACACTGGTGAAAAGCCATATACTTGTGACTTATGTCAAAAAAGTTTTGCAACAAGAAATGTACTGTCTGCGCACAGTCGTGTTCATACAGGTGAGAAACCTCACTCTTGTAGTGTATGTGGTAAGAAATTTTCAAGTAAGGCGGATTTAGCTCGTCACTTTCGCACACACACTGGTGAAAAGGCTTATACTTGTAGTGTGTGTAATAAGTGTTTTTCGCAGAAATCACATTTGACTCGACACATTAGCACTCATACTGGTAAAAAAACTATATTCTTGTCCCATATGTAATAAAAGTTTTTCACATAACATTACATTGCGTGTGCATAGTTGTCTTCATACTGGCGAGAAACCATAATCTTCTAATGTATATAACAGGAGTTTTTCAACAAAGACAGTACTAATTTATCACAGTCGCGTTCATTCAAGGAAAGAACCTTATTTTTCTAAGACACATTTAGAAATCTTTTACTGAAATTTACCCTATCTGTCATAAGTTTTGTTTATATTTTGCTAAGTGTAAAAATTTGTTATAAAAGATTTTACATTATAGTGGTTTAGCTGTTCACAACTATTTTTATTGTTCTTCAAATTCTTATTCTTGTTTGTATAAAGAGTTTTGTGAAGATTCTAATAAAACTGCTACAAAGTAAAAATAGTCACTGCTGGAGAATATTATTTTTTTTAGTTGGCTCAATGAGACACAATTGATATGAGGCTTAGAGATGTAACAAATTGTGATTAGCCCACATACTGAATTTTCTACTTCTTGGAAGTGGTGTAGTTTGAAAAGAATAGCAGGCCAAGTGTCTACAAGTTTCAATATACTATTTATTAGGTAATTCTTAAAGGTATAGAATGTCTCATTGCAGTTAATTGAATATGTCAGTGAAAGATATTTCTATCGAAGATATCTATTTTTCGTATTAAAGATTGCAAAAATATTAATTTTAGAAGTTTAACTCCGAATATGAGTTTTTTTTTTATATTGAAAATTTATTTGAACTGATATAAATTCTAGATTCAAAATTTTGAACTGGGAAAACTTGAGATTAGAAAATAAATATGTTTAGAGACTGAGGTGTTGGTAGGCGCAAGCTCTAACATTTTCTTTGAAAAGTGTTGTGTGCCCAATAGTCAATAGCATTCGCCACTGGGCAAGATTCGTCACTATGTACAAAGCAAATGTAGTTCGTTTTCGGGTGAGATTCCAAAGGATGTCAACACTTTTATTTTTTATAAACACTAGTATTTGTATTTGAAACTAAATTTGAGTTTTTGTTATAAAAGATATATTTTGTTATAAAAGATATATTTAAGCTGTTTATAACAAGAAATATTAGCAATTAAAAGTGATTTACATTTATAAAGAATGAATATACCCTTGGACGAAAAGTATGAGAATATTTATAGAAAATATTTATTAAAATCGTTTCAACAAGAGTATTATTTTTTTTTATGGGGCTATCTTCTGTATATTGTAAAAAAGTCTCATTATCAATTGAGTGAAGAATAGGCATCTAAAGTTGAAAATATTTTAGTAAAAGTGAACAGAATTGATGCTGCTTAAGTAATTAGGTACTTTATAATAGAGTTACTTATTATTCTTGTTCTAGTATTTAAAATCTGAGCTATTTATGCACTGTATGTTGATATTTGTATACGAAATTTTAATTTGGGAAATAAAAAAAAGGAATAAGAGTTATTAAAAAAATATTATTTTAAGTTGCTATTCTTAAACAAAATATTCTTTTTAGCTGCATATACAATAATTTCATGAATTTTTCCACATGAATGCTGCTAAGATTAAATTTGACATGCTGAAATGGGTCCATTTGCTTCTGAACTTAACACTGAGTTTTTTTTTTATATATTCTAATTTATTCAAAAGTCATTGCACTTTTAAGTGCTTTTTACTGAATTTTTTTTTATTGCATCTTCCTAATGTTAGATAATATCTTTTTGCTATGAGGTATTCAGAAAAAGTATGCCATTTCTTACTTATCAGCTTGTTTTACGTATAAGTCATTGAGTTTGGCACTTATTTCCTAAAAGTCACCTTCTTTGAACAAAGAAACATTTAGGTGAAATCTTTCATGTATTCTGTGCGCTGTACCTGTTGACATAATTTAAATATTGATTCGAAATGTTTATTCATGCTTAAAATATTCTATACATTATACCAAGCAGGGTTCGTGATTTTTTTGATTTTCTTAAAAAAAAATCGGATTATTTTGATTTTAATCGGATTTTTTTATTTAAATCAGATTTTTTTGATTTCTATTCAAAAACACTATAAGAGCTTTAATTTATGATTAAAAAAACCTTTATAAATGTTTAATCAAAATTAAATTAATATTGAAACTATATTATAACAATATTTTAGAAGCTCTAACTTACTAAAATAATTTTTCATTATAATGCATAGCGACCATTTTGATACAAGGGCATGATTGAAATTAAAAGACAAGATAAAATAGATAATTTAAAGAATACTACTTTAACTAGTAACACAAAGTTTCAATTAGCACACCATAATTTTAATTTAAAATTGTGATCTCTTTTTTTTTCCCTCATGATTTATAAAATGGCAAAATAAATGCAACAGATTGTGTTTATAAATGTTGTCATTCATCAAAAAATAAATATTCAATCTATAAATTTTTATGTTAAAATATTCATTTTTAATCCTATATCAAAATACATAAGTTAAGCTAAAAAACATTTTTAAAAAATCTATGTACTCATTGGAATTTTTTTCACAAAAGAAAATCTGATAATTTCAAAGATACCGTAAACATATTATAAGAAGAAAAAAAAATACCAGTTAATAAACCCTACTGCTTCAAATAGACTTTGAAAGGGAAGAATGACACTATATCAGGAAAAAATATCTGAACTCAGCTTCTTTTTTTTTCTTTCTATTTTTGGCATATTAAGGTAATTTCTTTTTAATATTACCTCGAGCTTTAGAAACATAGAAATTTCCATCAATAAACTATAATGTAGATTTGAATTCCATGCTTTTTTAATCAAAAGGTAGAATTTTAATTAACATTTGCTTATTTTTCTTTCTGAAAAAAAATCATGTTTATTTACTTTCTACAGCTATGCAAGTCTATATTAAGACAGCATTAAATATTTACTTTAATCTGTACTTTCAATGTTAAGAATCAAAAGATTTTTAAACGTGTAATTTCAAATGTGTTTAACACACTCCAAGAAAGAAAGTAATTTCGTTAACTAAAATTAATTACTACAGCAATTTATTTAAAATAAATTTTAAAACTAAGAAAAGAAAATAATAAAAGTATCAATATTTAACGCACTGTTTTTTAACTTTTAAAATCAATATAATATATATATATATAAATTAGTTGATTTAAATCAAAGATTTTTTTAAAAAAATCATTTGATTTTAATCATGATTTAAATCGTGATTTAAATCAAGCTGATTTAAATCAACGAACCCTGATACCAAGGCACATATTTTAATTGTTTATTAGGTTTTTTTTTCTTTTCAGAATTGCATTTCCTTACTTGGATACAATTGCATTGCCAGTATCTTATGACACTTGGTGTTTACCTAAGATATTAGTTAAGAAAAGGCTGCCTGACTTTTTTAAGCTAGTTTCAACTGCCTCTGAAAAGTTGAAGAAAGGCATTTACATGCCTTTAGACTATAATATTGATTGGTATTTAAATGTGATGTTTGATTGTTAATCATTTATTACATTGTATAACTTAAATGTATTGAAAATAGCTTAAATATGTTTCATACTTAATTACTGATAACTTAAATACTTCTTTTGGAATATTTTAATGTAATGTGTAGTAGTTTTTACTTTCATCAGTTACTCAATCAACAGAATTTTTTTTGTAGCTTTTCCAAAAAAAAAAAAATTAAGTCTAAAACAGCAATCTGAAGTAAAACAGTAATAGAAACTAAAATCTAACTCAGTACTTATCCTTACCTTATCCTTACACCTCATATAAATATCTTCAATAAGATAATTAGCTATACAAAGGTTATTGGGACGTAACAGCCAGTATGAGTTAAAAAGACAGAACGTGCCTAAAACTCATACAGAAAAGAATCTTTAATTTTTTAGAATGTAGTATAGTTTTTTGTTTTTTTTCACAGAAGGAACATGTAACTAGACATAGTCACACTCGTACTTCGGAGCAACTTTATTCTTATAGTGTGTGTAATAAGAAAGTTTCAATGAAGATGAATTTAAATCAACATGATAGCACACCCACTATTCAAAATCTTTATTCTTGTGACATATGTAATAAAAGTTTTTCCCAAGAGAGAACATTGTCTACGCACAGATGTGTTCATACGGGTGAAAAACCTTATTGTTGTAGTGTATGTAACAAGAGTTTTTCACGAAAACAGATTTTAACTAAGCACACACTCACTCATGCTTGTGCAAAAGCCCATTATTGTCTCATATGTAAAAAAAGGTTTTTCAGCAAAGGCGGAACTGTTAGTGCATAGTTGTGTTCATACGGGTGAAAAACCTTATTCTTGTAGTGTATGTGAGAAGAAATTTTCAAGTAATAGGAGTTTAACTTGTCACCTTCGCACACACACTGGTGAAAAGCCATATACTTGTAACATATGTCAAAAAAGTTTTGCAACAAGAAGTGAACGGTCTGTGCACGGTCGTGTTCATACGGGTGAGAAACCTTATTCTTGTAGTGTATGTAATAAGAAACTTTCAAGTAACAGGAATTTGACTCATCACTTTCGCACACACACTGGTGAAAAGCCTTATACTTGTGACTTATGTAATAAAAGTTTTGCGACAGGAAGTGAACTGTCTGTGCACAGTCGCACTCATGCTGGTGAAAAACCTTATTCTTGTAGTATACGTAATAAAAAAATTTCATGTAAAAGAAGTTTAACTCGACACTTTCGCACACACACTGGTGAAAAGCCTTATACTTGTGATTTATGTAATAAAAGTTTTGCAACAGGAAGTGAACTGTCTGTGCACAATCATGTTCATACTGGGGAAAAACCTCATTCTTGTAGTTTATGTAATAAGAGTTTTTCACAGAGACAGTATTTAATTGTACATGCTCGCACACATACTGGTGAAAAACCTTTTTCTTGTGACATATGTAACAAAAGGTTTTCAATCAGACATAATCTCTCCAGGCACAGACGTGTTCATACTGGTGAAAAACCTTATTCTTGTGACATATGTAATAAAGGTTTTTCACGAAGGCAAATATTGTCAATGCACAGACGTGTCCATACTGGTGAATCGCCTTTTACTTGCAGTGAATGTAATAAAAGTTTTTCAAGTAAGTCAAATCTAACTGTGCACAGCCGTACTCATATAGGAGAGAAACCTTATTCTTGTTGTGTATGTGATAAGAAATTTTCAAGTAAGTGGAATTTAACTTATCACTTTCGCACACACACTGGTGAAAAGCCTTATACTTGTGACTTATGTAATGAAAGTTTTTCATATAAGAGTAATTTGCATGCGCATAGTCGTGTTCATACTGGCGAGAAACCTTAGTCTTCTAATGAATGTGGCTTATGTAGTAAAAGTTTTGCAACAGGAAGTGAACTGTCTGTGCACAGTCATGATCATACGGGGTGAGAAATCTTGTTCTTGTAGTGTATATAATAAGAGTTTATCACGAAAACGGATTTTCTACACACACTCACTCATATTCGTGCAAAACCCTATTCTTGTCTCATATGTAAAAAAAATTTTTCAACAAAGGCGGTGCTGTCTGTGCATAGTGGTGAGAAACCTTATTCTTGTAGTGTGTGTAATAAGAGTTTTTCTCATAAACAGAAATTAGCTGTACTTGCTCGCCCACATACTGGTGAAAAACTGATTCTTGTGACTTGTGTAACAAAAGGTTTTCGTTGTGACATAATCTCTCCTAGTACAGTCATGTTCATACTGGTGAAAATCCCTATTCTTGTCGTGTGTGTAATAAGAGTTTTTCGCAGAAATCAAATTTAACTTGACACATTAGCACTTACTGGTAAAAAACTATATTTTTGCCTCATGTGTAATAAAAGTTTTTCACATAGGAGTACATTGCCTGTGCATAATCGTGTTCATACTGACGAGAAACCTTATTTTTCTAAGACAAATTTGTCATAAAAGATTTTACATCATAGGGGTTAAAGTTATTTTTGTTGTGCTTCAAATTCTTATTCTTGTTATTTTATTTGCATAAAGAGTTTGGTGAAGATTCTAATAAAACTATTATATATAAAGTAAAAATAGTCACTGCTGGAAAAACTTATTATTTTAGTTGGCTCTATCAGGGTGCATAGCGTTTTTAAAAAGTGCTTAAAGGTGCTTATTTTTGTTTTTTAAAAGTCCTTAAAGGGGCTTTTTTCATTGTGTGTTTTTAAAAAGTGCTTAATTTTCCCTTTTTCAAAATGAGATTTTTCCTATACTATGTTGATTTTCGCTTCAAATCCTGCAAAAAGACACTGTTCACATTGTCCTATTCAATGCTTTCATAATTAATTCAACCCCAATCTATTTCGGCGTATCACCAGCTCGTAGCGTATAAAAACGCCATTCGTTTTATACGATTCAAAATTTCTGGATTTTTGACAATTGTCAAAAACAATGATAAAAGTTTTTTCTTTTCTTTTTGACATGACGGTAAACAAGATAAAACCTTCGATTGTCAAAAACTTTCCAACCCTGCCTAATTATGATTTTTTTTTAAAGTGCTTAAAAATAGCTTTTGAGTGCTTGAAAAGTGCTTAAGAGGTGTTTATTTCCCCACCTAGCTTCAGATCAATGGGCACCAGCTTGTCTGGGAAGTGAAGGCAGCCTGAGTGCAGTGCTGACCACATTCTTGCAAGCCGCAATCATGTCATTGGTCTCGAAATTGTAAAGCCTTAACCTCTGTGTTCCCCTCAGTCCATAATGGATTGTTACAGGACTGCTTTTGCTTTACATATAATATGGTTAAAATATGAGATATTAAAATTGTAAAAGAATAATAAAATTTTAATCTGATTCTATTTGTTCTGAAAAGAATTACTTGTAATTTTTTTTCTTCGATTTAGCAATCTGTCGCACATTTATAGTTCATTTCTGTATTGTTATGTTGATTTTAAAGTATATAAGACTATTGAAATTACCTATGGGCAATGGAAGCAATAAATTTAAAATTAAACAAATAAAGTTATTATAAAAAAAAAGTCATAAGTAAAGTAGTTTTAAGTCATTAGTCAACAAGGTAAGTAAAAGTGAGACTAGTTGGGACACTTTTTTACAAATTAGTAAAAAAAAAAAAACATGTTTAATAAAATTTTTAACTTATGAAGAATTTTTAACAATTATTTGTATGAATACATGCATTCTGGTATATATCTGAAATAACAAAGTTGTTTACTTTTACCATAATATTTTTTTAAAAGCTGTTTTTGTTTACACTACATGAGGCTTGTGTGGGCAAACTTATATTCAATAATCTACCCGTCAGAAAGATATACTATATATAGCCAAAATGAAATCGATTTTAATCTATGCTTCATTGCAGAATATATATTGACATAATTATTTAAAACACTAATTCTTAATATAGAACTTCACTGTACCAAAAAGGACATTTTGAAAGCAAATCAATACATTGAAAAAATCAGTATATTCAATTTCAATTATATAAAAGCACAGAACTAATTATAAGTTAAATCAATTTTAAAAACCATTGTCCAAATGCATATTATTGAATGATACTATTTTCCTAACTAGAGCAAAGAAAACAACTTGCAAAAAAGAAGACTGTAGCTTTCGCTGATATTCTGTTTTAGTTTAATGTATGTCAAAATTTTTTCATTAGTTCATCTATATTGACTTTTATTCTCTTATAAAAATTGATAAAATATCTTTAAATTTTCTGAAAACCCTTAAAGAGGGAATTAATATATGTATTGAGATTGAAACCACTAATTGCAAAGGTATACTATTGTACAAAATCCTTCTAATTTAGATAATAAATAACATTAAATTATTGCATTTGTAACCAATTAATATTTCTTCCCCTGGAAGATGAATAGCGTCAGTGTGAATTCATTCACCCACCAAGACTTTCATAAAACTACTGAACAATACATTAATACCAACGAGTAAGATCAGAGCCGTTTTTAGGGATGGGCCCAGGGCCCCGAGTTTTGATGGGGGCCACGAAAAGTCTAAAATCTCATTGAAATAATTGTTTTTCCTTTAAAATTCTAACTCATTTATTATTTATAACTTAAGAGGGCCCCCAGATCCAACTATTTTTCTTCTTTTTTTAAAGTTTTATTCGGAGCTAGGGCCCTCTGAAGCCCATAATGCATATTTTTTTCTTTTTTACACTGTCGGACGCTTTTAAAAATCTAATCGAAGTGTTTACAAATATAAAATAGTTGTTACTCTTTTCTTTTCTAACCAAAAGAGCAATAAAACAGTCTGTCCACTGATGAAAATATCCCCACTTTCTTAGCTACCACCCACAGAGTTGTGAAATAGCCTCCTCTCTTTACACTGTGGGGAAACGTTTTTAACTTCTTTATATTGCCTTGGGCTCTTTTTTCCTAACTTTGGAAATATCAGATATCCACAAAAACATCCTTTCGTCTGATTTCTTGTCATAAATTGCTAGGAACAAAAAATTTCTAGGGCTGCAAACAAGAGAAGGGTCTTCTTTGGGTCATTCTGTCTTGAGATTTCCTTTGTGTCACATACGTTATCGTTAAATCGGGACTTGTTCAATTTAAATGTTTCTTTCATAAAAAATTTAGATATTTTTTCTAATTTATTATAAAAGCTTTTTTTTCCCCTTTAATCATCCTAAGTGTTTCAACTAGCTTAATTGTTTAATTTCTTAATTATTGTATTTGATTTTATTTTCAAAATTAATCGTACATGAATCCGTGAACTAGGATTTTCTATATCAAATTTTCGTAGGATATTAAGAAATAAATTTTTCACCTTTGGAGGTAAGCCTTTATTAAATCAACTTTGGTTGTGGTTAGGGAAAACATGGAAGGTTCGCGCAGCTTTTTATTGATACATTTTTTAACGCAATCTAATAGCTTATAATATTTGCCCCATGTTTATTTTTTACAATCATCAATCTTTTAAGAGCTAAAAGACTGGGTTAAACCTTTTTACTAAAGGGTAATTTGACGCACTTTGTTCTGAAGGTTGAGTATTTAAAGAACCAACAAAGCAATTAGTAAGTGTATAAAAAATTTGATACTTTTGTTTAAAGAAACATCAAATCTAATAGTTATTTACTGATGAAAAGTAAGAAATCTGAAGCAACATTGTTAAAATAAATATTAAAGTTGATTCAATAATTTGAGCTATATGGGGAGAAATATATCTTTTTTATTTAGTTTTTTATTTTCAATATTTTGTGATTTTTCTTTTATTTATTTAAATGGCGGGCCACTATTCAATTCCCTCTTTGACATGCCGGACTGCCAAAATTCTTTATTTAGTCTATTCTGGATGAAATTGAGATAACAAATGTGATTTTATTTTAATTTTACTTACTGTTAATAGACAGAAACAACATATGATTTTGTTTGATAGAGCACTGAAATCAAATTATCATCAGCTAAACAAATGCTTAAGCATGAGAAAAAAATTGTTTAAACCTCCTGTATGACCAAATTTTCCATGTTTCCCCTAAATATAAAATATGTTTAATTTTTTGAAAAAAAAAAACATTTTTTTGCAAAATTGAAGAAGAAAAAAACACATGTCTAAGAGTTTTACATAAAAAACATATCTGAAAATTTTCAACAAAATCAAGAATGCCAAGTGTCCAAATAACTTAATTTATTAAATTTTTAAAAGGAAATAAATAAAAAATACACAAGGCAGGTGTGTATATCTGGGGCTGATGATTACGAAATCTAACACAAAACTGTGAGATCGTGGGTTCTATTCCAGCTGATGATATCCAGCTGATGATCTTATTTTTCTTAAAGTATGCATGTTAAAAACTAATAATTTAACAATTATTTAAAAAACGAGAAGGCTCCGCCCCCTGTTCATGTTGCTCACTAACCCTCGTGGTTGCTTCTCATTAATCATTGCAGGTTAAGAGGAAAAACGGTTTATTTCCATTTTTTTTTCTACAAAAATTACGATTGAATTGCCATTTACATTTTAAAGATGATAAAATTTAAGCAAATCAATAAAATTGAAAAACTGGTATATCCCGCAGAATTATTACTCAATGAAGATGGACTCAAGGGATAGAGCATTCTCCTCCAAATAGGTGCACCGAGTTCGACTCCTAGTGATGGCTGGTCGACATGAATTCCACTCCCGGCTTATACAGACCACTGTGCTGACGTAAAATATCCTCAGTGGTAGACGGATCATAGGTTAGAGTCCCCTTGCTATCAGACTAATCGTGGGAGGCTTTCGTGGTTTTCCTCTCCATGTAACTCAAATGCGGGCAAGTTCAATCAAAACGTCCTCCACGAAGACAAAAATTTCTCCCAATACTTGATCCTGGAGTTCTCTTGTCTGCTGGATTGGGTTCAAAATTATAAGGCTACGGAGTTGAACATTAGTAGTCGTAAACTCGAAATCGGGTGGGCTGTTCAATGACTGTTTTTATAAAAATAAACTAATAATTTGGCCCCGATAGCTTGGTTGGTTGGGTTATGAACTCGTGTTCGTGAGAATAGGAGTTCGAATTCACCCGGCCGAATAATACCGAAGTATAAAATGGTGACTGGTGCATGTTAAACCTGTCGGGGTCACAAACTCCACCAAGTTCTTGTTACAATTCAATACTTCTGGGTATTGAATTGTTTTGAGAACTTGAATACTGATCCAGGAGTTCCCTTGTCTTCTGGATTGGTTTTAAAATTACAAGGCTACGTAGTTAAACATTGGTAATAGTGATCTCAAAATTGAGTAAGTTTTTCAACGGTGATTATGAAAAAAATAAATAAATAAAACTAATAATCAAATTATATTTTCTTGCATTCTTTCCAACTCCTATTTTCTACACACCTTCATAATTTCATGTTTCTAAGTCTTGTAGATTTTCAGCAGCAAAGCAAAATGTAACGCAAAGGAAAAAAGAATTGAGAAAAATGCTCGCAAAAAATCATTTAAAATTGCAAATAACATGTACATATGTTAAAAATTTATATAAAAAAAATCAAGCATTATTTGCCCAGGAGAATAAATTGAGACAATTAGGCATAGATGACCTGCATAAAATAGTGGAAAACAATAATCTTTAAGATACATTTCCAAACATTGACATTTCATTTCGAATTATTTTGTCACTCATGATAACTAATTGTAGTAGCAAACGTTCATTCTCCAGACTAAAATTAATAAAAAAAATGAGTTAAGAAATAGTATGACTCAAGAAAGATTGAGTCATTTTTCAATTATGAGTATTGAATATGATGTCTTACTAGAAACTGATTTTGATGTGATAGAAGACTACGCCTCTCAAAAAGCGCGAAAAGGATTGTTACCTTAAATTTTTGATAAAAATAACGTATATTAGCTTTTATAATTAACTTATATGTTTTTTACTCTTAAAAGAAGATAATAAAAGCGGCTCTGAGTAAGATTAATACTCTTCTGTGAAACCGCCTTAAAAGCTATGTTTTTCCTTGAAAATAAGATTAAAAATTTGCGTTGCAAAAGCAGTTGCGTTTAAGCAAGTTGCACGTGCAAATGTGCCTATTGATGTGCGATGCCGCATGCAAGTCACCTGCAGTGTGAATCCTCCAGAAAATATTACGCGTCTTTGCTTCCAGCATCATCAAGTTAACAGCAAGCTGTAAGCATGCTGTCAACTCGATTCGAATGTAACTCGCCTTCTTGCACCTCTCTCAAACCAAAACAAATTTCTGTCAAAAAGTTACAATAATTATTCAACAGAAGTAATGTTTTCATTTTTATCAATTTTTTTAATTAGATATATCCCACTATAAGATTTCACAATGCGTTTTAATTCCAAAGAAATCATAGCGGTTGCTACGCAACCATCTTATAAGTTTGATAAAGAAGGCGTTCTGTATGTGAGAGAGAAACATGACGGCTTGTTCCGACGTAGTGACGTATTTTCGCAAAGATGGTGCAGGCTTAGAGGAAATCTACTGTTTTTCTACAAAACGAAAGATCAATGCTCGGAGCCAGCTATTTTGTTTGTTTTGGAAGAATGTCAAATTCGCCTAGATGCGAACTCAGACATTCCTTTTTCGTTCAGTTTAATTTTTCAATATGATGGTTCCATTCAGCAGCTTGGAGCAACGTCAGAAGAAGAGAGAGACTCGTGGATTCAAACACTACATATGGCGAGTTTTGATTATATGCGCTTGCAACTCTCATCTTTGAAAGAAAAGCTGAAAATAAGAAGAGAAAATGAAACCAATTTATCTTACCCAACTTCCAGAACTCAAAGAAGTTTCACTATAGGATGTAACTACGATTCGAACCAGTATGAACCTTTCATGGAGTTAAGTTTGTCTTGCGACAACCTAATGTGTGATGGTGATGGCCTACCCCCTAGCCCATATATTTCTGTGTGTATAAATAATTTACCATCTACAAAATGGACCAAATTTACACAAACTGAGATAGTGGAAAAATCTAGCAATCCTTGTTTTTTTACGACAGTCACTTTTGTTAAGGGCGAAGTGACAGACTCTACACGCATTAAACTTTCTGTTTACGATGTTAAAGAAAGGGTGACTTGTACTAGTACTTTACTCGGTGAATCTGTATTTACATTAGACACTCTTTTACAAAACCCATATCGTACTCTCAGGCTTACATTGGTGTCTCCATCTTGCTTGAGTGTAGGTTTCATTTCCATATCTGCTCGAGAAATGAGTAATACAAAGCAAAGAAACGCTTGGCTGTTATTGGCCGAAGAAGAGTCTCTGTGGTCAAAAGTCGAGAGACCTCGGAGTTATTCTTTGCCGTCTAGACTGCATTCTCAAGTTGGAATACCTGTGTTAGGTTTGTTGAAAACATTGTCTAGTAATTTTTCTACTCAAACCTATCGTTTTCATACTGGTCTCGGTGCAGAACTCCATGTGCACGAAATCATGTCGGAAAGCAAGTTATCATTTACTATCCCCCTTATGCTTCTAAATCTGTGGATTAACGAAGAAAAACGGTTAATGGAAACGAGTTTCCGTATTAAAGAACTTTCGTCTGAGTGGCAACAGAAATTTTTGGCCGCGATGGATGGTCACCATAGACTTATTAGTCACTATACAGAGGTGATTGATTTTTTGTCAAAACAAAAAGCATCATCCTTTAAGCCTTCAAATATGAAAAAAGAAACAAATTTTGAATTTGTACCAGTAAATCTTCATGTGCAGAGAATGTGGGTACAGAATATGACTACCCGCAAAACTGGGGTTTACGATGTTATAACGGTCGGAGCCTTTTCCGCTTATTCTCGACGTTTTCGTCAAGGGGGGCTTCTTAAGCTTTTAAATCAGTTGAAGAGTTATTACCCTTCATTTGGCAATGACAATGGGTGTGCCATTTTAGGCCCTGATCCGATATCACGCTCTGCTGAAGCAATCATGAGAATTGAGCAACTTCAGGATGAAATAGAATCTGACTTGCAGAAGCTGATTATTATGTGTAATCAGGCATGTAAATCTAGCATGCAAACTATTCTCAATTCTCTCAGCAGTAAAGGAGATCAGCTGCGAAGGATATGTATTCCCCACCTAGTGGAAGAAGCTTTTTCTTTGTGGGATTCGATTAAGTCTGACACTCCTTCTATTGATGCAGATCAAGTGGTTAATTCATCTCAGGAGGATCTAAAAAAAGACGGTTTAAATTCAAGTAAAAGCAATTGTGCTATTAATATGGAAGAAATGGAGCCCTTAGAACTGACTCACTTGAACATTAAAGCAAGTATTCTGTGTATGTCTAGCAAAGTTCAATCTCTTTTTTCTGGAAGTAAATCTGATGATGGAGAGGAAGGCTCTTGGTCTAATGAAATAATGCCTAGTGTCAGAAAGTTACGCCAAGCTATCCAATGCCTTTTAAAAACTGCACAATTGACATACAGCATAATTTCACTCAAGGAATCTACCAAATGTATGCCGATGAGTCAAAAAGTCCGACATCGAAGAGATATCGTTTTTTCCCAAGCTTTGACTAGCGTGTTAACTGGCATAATGACTAGACTGTGGTGCCGTACCCCCGATCCCATGTTCATCCACATGCTTCGAACTGTGGGAGTTTTGTGTGATTTTGAAGGATTACTTAGTTGCTATGGTGATGAAATGGGCTGCCTGGAAGATATGGTGGTTGGAATAGATGACCTCCGTAGAGTTCTTTTTTGGCTGGAACCATCTACTGCTTCTGAGAGTCCTCAGCCACGCATTGAAGGAAGTCGATTATTTTTATATGTGTTTATACCAGCTCCGCAATCTATAATCAACATGCTTCCTGCAGAACAACAAAACGGATGTCGTTTTACAGTGAGTTCGGTCTTTTTTAACATCGGCATCAATGAACGAGCTACTCTGGCAGAAAAGTTTGGTGACACGTCCTTACAGGAAAAAATTAATCAAGATAGTTTTAGTTTGCTGAAGGATTTTTTCTCCAGATTTCAGAGGACTGCAAAAATGGAAAAAAGCCATGGTTTTCATTTTGCAGAAAACTACATCATTGAATTGCTAGATCAGCTTCACGCTCAAGTTTATGCAAAAAAGAGTAAAAACGTGGACATATTGCACATATCTTCGGAAATTTGCAAGCACTTGGGTGGAATAAGGTTTACGAGTTGCAAGAGTGGCAAGGATCGGACATCCATGTCCGTCACGTTAGAGCAAGTTGTGGTATTAATCAAAGATTTCAATCTTAACGAGAAAGAGATGACTAGAGTTCTAGAATGCATGCGTTGTGAAGGAACTCGGCGAGAAAATACTCTAAAAAATATTGGTATTAAGAAATATCATTTCAATAGTCTACAATTGATGACTCTGCCAAAGCTCTACAGACCACCACATGGGACTTATGGGAATGTTGAGTCATAACCTTTACACAGGAACCTGCCTGTTCCTGTGTAAAGGTTGGGAAAGGCTCCTGTGTAAAAGGTTAGTAACCTTACACAGGAACCTATTCGTGCACATGAAATGTGCCTACAATTCCTTATATCTTTGATATATCACATTTTTTGATGTTGTTATTTGTAACATATATATTGTATATCATTATTATAAATTTATTAATCAGGTTTTATTTAATCTTATTTAAACAAAGCTGTCCTAAGAGCGGGGCAAGCAGGACCTGCCCCGCTCATATGACATTGCTTAGGCCACTGCACCGGTGATGTTGAAAATGTTTTTTTTTTTTAACAATTATGATTTGTTCTAATACTAATGTTCTAAAATATATAGAAAATAATTTGATGTTGGAATATCATTTCAATAAATTGCCAAAACTCTAAAGGTCACCACATAGTACTTATGGAAATGTTAAGTCATATACTTTTATAATCCTACTTATAGAAATGTGCCAACAATTTCTTATCTTTGATATTTTCTGCTGTTGTTATTTATAACATGTGTATTGTACATAAAATTTATAAATTTTCTTTATTTAATTTTATTGCAAGTGAAAAGGATTGGGCGATGCATTTAGCCGATGGCCCTTATTTCTAGGACTGTGGCCCACTCCCCTGTATTGGTGAGATTGAAGAATTTTTTTAATAAATAATTATGAAAATTAGTAACAGAAAGTTGCAAATTTTATTTTCTATTCTCTCATATGGATGAAAAATAGGGAGTAATTTTACGCTTATTGAGACAATGCAGAAAAACACTCCATACAAATCCAATTCTAGAATTAAAATTTAGATTATTACATGGACTCTTAAACACACAATTGATCATTCCCAAGGGCAACATTGTGTTAAAATCTAAAAATTAAGTGATAGTATAAAATTGGAAGGAAAAATTGTTCATTTTTAGGCATGGAATGAAATTTAATAAAATAAATAATATTTTAATAATAATGTGAATCATCATTCAAAGTGAAACATTTTCTTTTAGGCTGTGAAGAAAGAAAATATTTATAAGTTTCCATAAAATCTTGTGATGGTTCTGTCTTGTAACTTAGTATAAGTTAACTTTTTTTTAATTTTAAACCCAGTATAAATTAACTTTTTTTAACTTAGTTGTGATAGTGTTATTTTGCCATTTGGTGCCATTATTATTATTTCATGTAGCATTTGTGTTAAATTTTTGAATAAATCGAGTTTTAGTAAATTGATATATGGTTAAAAATATTGCCAAACTATTATTGGTGTCAGTCATACTTAGTTAATTGTGGTATTATGGTAATAGGTACCTAATGTAATATGTCGTGTGGTAATAAGGTTTTGCAATGGAAAAGTTCCAATTTTCAAATTTCTTCGATGTTAAAAGAATCTCCAAAAGTACTGTCCTAAGAATAACTGTGATTTTTGTTGAGGAAAGGTTTGAAATGTAAGAAAAAAACTGATGTTTTCAATTACTGTTAAGAGGGCAAAACCGGGGTGCTAAAAAATAAAAATAATTTTTTTTCTTCATATCGTATTACTACTTATGTTTTAAAAATAAAACATTCGTATGTAGATTTATTATTATTTTTTAAAATTTTAATGTATTCACTACTTTACTTCAGTAATTTTACTCATACTTTAATGTTTATGCACTTGAAATGTACCTTTTATGAAAAGTACCTTGGTTTTGATTTTCTGACTAACCTTGAAGGCGTTGGATAATCAGGGTTCTACTCTAAATTTAAATTAATAACCAGTTAACAAATAATATTAAAATGCAGAGAAGTTACTGCAATGATATAATGACAATTTATGCTATTTTTCAAATTATACTATAATAAAGTAAAAATAATACTGTTATATAATGATAATTATTTAAACAATTTACATTGGTCCTTCTATTTTAATATTGCAGAGCCAAAAAAAAATCTGAGTTCTGTAAGGCTGTTTTTTGAAGGCTCTGTCCTAATATGAAATGGTGCTTTTTTGCAAATAGTATGCTACTTTTATAACTGCTGGGAGTTTGCAACTGTTACTTATGACTGTTAGGTCAAGTTTAACCTATCTAAAACCAGCGCTGTCTACGCTTATCTTGAAAATGATACAAAACCATTTAAGAGACCATATGTAGTCACATGGCACAAAAACATGTGGAGAACAGTCATAGTTTTGTGAAAATGAAAAGGATTTGTGGTCTAATTGTTTGATATTTAAAAACTTACTCCAATGCTGCATTACCTGGTCTCATAAAAAATTGCAAAAACTGAGAATAAGGTAGTGATTTTGATAATTTTCATCTAGGTGGAAAAATGTTGCCGATTATCCGCACTGCTCGAGACCGAGCATGGTTCAGATAATGAGAAGTTCGGATGATTGGAAGGTTGTTTAAAATCTAATGTAAATGATTATTATTTATGCACAAACTTCCCTTCGCACCTTTTGTAGGCTTAGAACTGGCAGTACTATCTAAAATAGCTTTGGCGTGTTTAAGAGTTTTTTTTTTTCAATTTTTAAATATTTTTAATTAATTTTTTTTGAAAACTTTTTTCTTCATTTTGAATTATTTTTTATCATATTTCAGTTTTTTATAATTTTTTTTGTCCCTTTCTAACTTTACGACATTTTTCATTATTTTCCATTGCAAAAGAAATCCAGCAAAGATTTCGTTTCAAAGAAGACGCGTTTTTTTTTTTTTTTTNTAGCAGCCATATATCCCTTATTCTTTTTAAATAAATCAACTGAACTGGATCAACATCATTTTGACGTTCTAGCCAATTCATTGCAAAATCTAACGAATTGCATGCTTCTATATGAGAAGGTCCACTATTTTGAACTTGATCACCTACTTCTCCCTCTTTGTCTGTTGAGTTCCGATTTTTGTTCAAAATTTCAGCAACAATTTCATCATTTTCATCTGAAATATCTACTGGTTCAGAAACTTCAGTTTCATTTGTTTTTCTGTTAAGAATATTATTCCAAGATTTAAGATTCCAAGCACTGTAATCACTAATCATTAACCATAAATGACCACTACCCATTCCCCAATTATAGAACTTCAGCACTTATCTATTCATAAACTCCTTCTGCATTCCAACCATTGTAGACTATCAAAATGAAGCTCGCATTCTTGGAAGATAATTTTCTGATGTAAAGGGGTGTGTAGGTTTAACTGTATCACAATACATGTATGGCTACTATAAGAAAACTGCTAAAAAGGTTGTAAATTAAATATGGTCTTTGGATGTAGGGGATATTATTTATTCTTCTTAATTTAGAAAAATTGTCAGTAGGTTAAAAAGTATTCTAAACTTAAATAGAAGAAAGAATTCAGACATAGTTTGGATAATTGGAAGTTCGGATAATCGGCGCTGTACTGTATATATATATATATATTATATAGTTTAAAATCATCACATTGCTTCAAGTGTATAGCACTGAGGCTTTTTTTTTTATTTTCCTTGGTGACAGAGCTTCGAAAAACAGCATTGTATAGTCCAAGCAATTAAAGTTATATGGACTTCAAAATGGCTGTTTTGTTGAGTTGCATTTAATGTTTATTTGTTATTTACTTATGTTTTGTGTTAATATTATATTGTAAGAACAAATGTTTATTATTAGAGCTATTTGGAATCATCATAATGACTTCATTTGATATATTTTCAACTTAATATTACCATTTTTCTATTTTAAGTATTTAGTTCTAATTAAAAATTGATTGAAGTTTTGTTAGCATATAACAGACCATTTGCACAATGAAACAACTATGTATTACGAAAAGGACTTCCTGATTTAGTTAAGAGTTGCAAAATTTTCCACAATATTCTTATTTTTAACTGCTTGATGAAGGAAGGCATGATTGTTCTTATTCTTCAAATGGTGTTTTAAGAAGTGCTAATAAATATGCATGTATTTTTCTCCAGTTTGTTTTCTTCAATATTTTTTTATTGCAAATTCTGACTTATATTGAGGATTACTTATTGTCTGATATTTTTTGATCAAAATCGATCACTGCTACCAGGCAATTTCTTTTAACTACTTAAAAATTACCATTTAAAATTAAACATAGCCTGTTTTAAATAGGACTAATATAAGAGGAATGCCCCTTTTATTAAATTTTCCTGTTAGTCTACCTCTACATAGTATAAAATTGTTAATTAATGACTACATTGGTGTGACTGCAGTCTATGCTCTTTAGTTCTCCCCCTCCCCCATTAGCATGTCCCTTCTTTTGTAACGTCCACTACATTCACAAGTCCTGTTTGCTGTTCCATAAACGCAATGTTATTTTAACGTCGATTAGAACTTCCAATATAAATACCGAAATTGTGTTTAATGTTTTTTTTTTTAAATTATTTAAAAATTTCTCAAAAAACAGGTGCTAGACATTTTTGCACTTTCTAAACTAACATTTTTCTGTTGACAACGAATCAGTCTATAACAAAAGTCTCCAAACAAAAATTCAAACCACTCAAATAACATGAAATGTCTTGGAATTCTTTATGAATGAAGAAAGACTTATGACTTTAAGGTATGTATTGTAGCGTCATTTAGAAATCGGAGTTTTCTTTATAATCATAATCTTTTGAAATTTCTTTTAAAAGAGAATCATATTTTTCTTGATTGAAAATTGTATTCAGTTATTTTGAAAAGTGTTGTAAGAGGTGGTTTATTTTAGAATTAAAAAACGTATTATTCACATTTTTTAAATTTTATTTTAGTTTTGCTTGTTCTCTGGATGTACGTATGATATTTAGCAAAAATTGCTGCTCCTTATCAGTATAATGTTATTTGCTTAAAGCTGAAATAGAATTTTTTTTAAAAAGTGGATAAAAAAATGCTAAATTAATCCAGATCCCTAAAAGCATTTTGTTTACAGTAATTAAAAATTGTGATGTAATTATGAAGGTAGAAAAAGTGTTCTAATTTCATAACATTATTCTTGTGAAGCAAAATTAAAAAAAAAACAAAAAAAAAAAACACTGAATGACTGACTAAAGCTTATGAATAATATTAAAAGATGTCATTTTAAAAAAATTATATCTATTTTTAACCTTTATTTATTTATTAAATAATATTTTTACTTTATTGACTTAAAACATTACGTATTAGTGAGTTTCATAATTCTATTTATAGCGTAGCATGTTTTTGCCGAAGCAACTCCAATATTTATAAAATATAAATAAATATTTGCACTAATTTTATGTTGTCATAATATAGCGGACTTCCTTTTTAGCGTCTGATTATATTTGGACCATAAGGGTTGTTACACCGAGTGTCGGTTGTAGTAACAATATGGAGCAGAAGCTATACACTTTCGAAACAGTTTGAAGTGTTAAGAACCATCATTTTAAATTACTTGGAAATACAATTAAAAATAAACTTTTTTAATGCATCATAAGTATATAAGTAATATTAAATTATACAAATAATCAACTTTTTAAGCAAAATATATTAATTATTTTGAACAAATCTTAAACAGTTTTATAGAAAAAGTCTAATTTATTGAAGATTTATCATAATTTAAAGAAATAATTACTCTGAATGTATTTAAAGCTCAAGTAAGATTAATTAGAACAGGATTGAATAGGTTTGGAGCAATTATGGACTAAAATGTCTGGTTTTGGTGTAAATATGGAGCAGTAAATATATTACTTTAATTGATAACATTTCATCCATTTATGGAATGAATGCCCTTAAAAAAAGTAAAAAAATTAATTTATTTTGAAAAAAATTAAAAAAAAAAGCAAATTTGCGTAGAAAAATGTCATTAATGGCAAAGTTAATTTGTAAAGTAAAAATTTAACCGAGAAAAAATATAATTTATTTTTGTTGTTAAAAAAATACAATTGTCTCTGCTTTATTAAAAATAAAATTCAACATAATTTCAAATTTTATTTCAAACTGAAAGTATACAATTCATTAAAAAAAAAACTTTATGTTGATGGTTTGATTTGTAAAACTGATAATAAAAGAACACGAATTATTAATAAAAATATAGGATGAAGTTTTATTGATTTATTTAATTCTTGGTCCAAATTACTTTGCATATATAAATATTATTGAAATTTTTTACTCATTTTTTTCTGTATTTATATTTTTACGTATTTTAAAAGGAATATATTTAACACCTCAAAACTCCCTTATAAAAAGTTCTTTTTTGTTAATATTATAGTTATACAATATGTAATTAAATGAAAATTTTAATTGTTCTCTGTCATGTATACAAAGT